ATTATCGCGATACTGAGAAAGTGCAGACATCTGCCGCGTAGACTTCAGATAACTGTGTTCACAGATTTTCTCGTGTTTCCTAAGACTCAAATTAAGTGCCTTCTGTGGTGCCCAGTCAGAAACATTTATTCTTAGCAAACGACGACAGCGTACCGAAATGAATTGGTTCACTGTCGCTACCAACAGGTTTTAATAGAAATTGAAATTAGAATGTTTGTGTCGTATAATTTGCACTACTTCCACTGGAACACTAAAAATAAAATTAAAAAACAATCAAACATAAGTCTGATACCGATAGGTAAAGGTTGTTGAGGTTCATCACTTTACTTCTTATGTTGACACACTTCTCGAAAATCCAAGTACATTCCTTACTTTACAGTAACCTGCCCACCAGAAAAGAAAGCAGTGACTCAACAGATTAAGAAATCATCAAAAACGCAGTGCGTACGGAGGAGCAAGGTGGCAGTTTAAAAAACTATTTACTTGGTCTTTGCCCGGAGTGAACCTTCTTTTGAACATCAAGGTCCAAAACGTTTTGCCCTTGATTTATGTTAAAACCTCAAAGCAGAAATTCCGTTTCAACAAAGTAGTAAATTCCCCTCTGCCGAGTTTGATAAATTTTGAATCTGTAATGCGTTTACCAGTGGCTCGTCAAAGGTGGTGGCTCAAAATGCAATTACCTTCACATATATCGATTCCTCTGCAGAATACAGTGTACATAAGTCCAGGCACCGTTATCAACGCAGAAATTTGAGAAACCTGATAAAGAAACAAAGTCAGAAAGACAGATTTAAAAAAGAGTTTCCAAGAAAGTTTTTCAAACAAATCGTTTTATTTCATTTTCTTTTAAATAAAATTAAGTCAAAAGATAATTAAGAAGATTCGCTCAGAGAGAACTCTTTGTGCTACATAAACATCAGTAAAGATGGAGTTAGTTGGGGAGAAAGCATAATAAATCACTTTAACAAGTCTTTTAAATACGCTCGCATATTTCTTATAATTGTTGTCTTCATACTGTTTTCACCAAGACCTTTCAAATAGCAGCTTTCAATTCAATTCTCTCGGTTTTTCTCACTCAGCAAAAATTAACCAATTTTTGGAAAGCCAGAACACAGAAGAGAAACATTTAGGAGCAAACTTGAAGGTGTAATTCGTTCCCGGCAACCTCTCATGCGCAATGAACAGCAACCAGTCGTCACTGAAATAATATAAGTAGTGGGAGGTTGTGACACTAGAGGATGGTTAAAAGAATTATTTCTGCAATTCAGTCAGTTAATCTGAAGTAGGTTTACTGGATACATGCAAGGTTCAGATAATCAGCAGGCGTCAGCTGAAATCAATTAATATACTAATACGTGCTTAGAGTACTCTCAATTTTCAAGCGTCATTTTTAAGCAGCATCATCAGTGTAACTCGGTGCAATACAACATTACGTGCCAATTTTGTTATCTAGTCGGTGGGTCACAACTTTGCAGCTTAAGTTTCTTCAAGAGTCCAGTGATCGTTTGTGCTGTTGTAGCTGAAAATTTGACAGTGCAGACGATCTAATTTTGTGTTGGTAAATATTTGACGAAACATAGAAAGGATCATCGGTTTCGAACTGTTTCTTCTACAACGTTTGAATGCTAATATTCTCTAAACATCATTGTTCATTCAAATTATCCATTTTATCTATTTACCTTCTGATTAAAAACTACGCGAGTTTTGTGTCTTATAGTATTTTTGAACTATTTTTTTTCTCCCTCTCCCTCGTCACCTTCTGGTTACTTTTGTCTTTTAAAAGCTTTACCACTACACTCTTTGTATCTTTAAGTCCAATTTTTCTTTTTCTAAACTTAATGCCCTTGTCTCAACAATTTTTTCATTTGATTTTCCGCCTTCAAATACTGACAGAGCAGAAATGGTTAATTTTCGGTTTCTTAAGTTTGATTCTTCCGTTATGTTGACAGGACGGTAAGAGTGACATTGATGTTTGAAACAAACTATAAACTTCTCAAATATTGCTGGCCAGTAACTGCTTTACTAACAGAGTGAAAAAGAGTAAGATATGAAAAAAAAGCTGATAAAAATTTGCGGAGATATAACAAGAAAAAAAAAAGTATTTTTTTTTTTTAATGTTTGACAAAACAAAAGCGATCAAAAAAGAAAAAGTGTGTTTTTTTAATCCAAAAATATATGTGAAAAAATTTTTTCTTTGCTTTTTTTTTCTTGAAGGTGAGAGTTTTTTTAAGAATCAAAGGAAAGCTGCTTTGGCTGAGAAGGTTGTTGTCACTGGGTCTACAGGCATCAGACTGCCTACAGAAAGCACTGCTGGATGTACTATGGCAACATTTTTAGCAATCGGCCTTCAAAATCTGTTGTTGTTTGTTCTCTTTCTTCCCTTTCACCCAGCTAAGTCGCTATTGAACTAAAAAAAACTGGATTTTTTTTCTTACATTGAAAAAATATTGGCCTTTTTCATTTCTTTCTTTTCTGATCGTGAAAAGATGAATTTGAAAAATAATATTAATAACTTTTTTAGCATTTTTACTTATGTAAATCACCGCAGCAATGTTCGTAAAAAATACGCCTTTTATAGTTTTGAATGTTTGAAATCAGCATCTATTAAATTTTTCAACGAAATTTATCAAAAAATATATCATTTTTCAGCACGAATGTCCTTCTTTTTTTTCTTTCAACTCAAAAGTATCCTTTTATCACTTAGTGCAGAAATTTTTTGAAGAACTGTTTCATTTGTCGTTTTTGAAATAAAGGTGCAAGAGTCTTAAGTCAAGTGCTCCCAATAGTTTGAGCAACTAAACGTTATAGATGAATATAATTTCTTTCTCTCCTTTCATTTTCTTTCCTCCCTTTTTTCCTTCTGCATAACTTGATTTGTTATAAGTAGTAAGACATAAAAAAGTGGTTTATTAATGGTAACAGTAAAATCTTTAAGCTTTATTAAGTAGGGTCGATAGCAAAAGTTATTTTCTGTTCTTCTGTTTTATTCTTTTCTCGGAGTTTTCGTCATTTTTGTTGCTGCTATAATTGTTACCGGTGTTGCGAATTTTGTTGTTTGTCTAAAGATCCTTAAAATTTTGGCTGACTACGACAGCAGTAACATCATTTTGGTTGATTTTTAGCAATGCTGTAGTAATAAGCAACACAGGTGCTATC